CAGTCCCTGTGTCTCTAAAAGCATTATCGTGCTTTTTCCTTTGCTCTTTCCTGAATGCATCTTAATTCATGGAGTATTACATTGAAGAGAATAAAAATGAAAAAAGCCCAACGACGCGTACTCCTGATTTATTTAACCAAATTCTTGCTGTCCAAACATTTCAGTATTTAATACAGATGATAGATTGATTAGACAGATGTTTAGAAAGGACTTGATCAGACTTCCTGGTACCCACTTTATCATGGTTTTTGCTTTGCTCTTTCCTGAATCCGACTCGCCCGAGACCTGTGTCGATCCCTCTTTACAGTCTGAGATCCCTGTATACCTGCAAGCTGGCTCCCAGACGCCCTGCTGCCCTTCCTTCGCACACTGTGACCTTGCTCACTGACAAGGTCACAGCCTGCGACCCGGAAGTGATAGGTCCATCACAAAGAGCAGCTGGCTTGTTTTCACACTCCACGTACCCTCGGATGATGGCTGATATTCCAGCAGATTGGCTACACTTTCGTCTGCACTCGGAGAACTAAAAGAATGCTTCTTAAACAATGTAATTTCTACATTAACTTTTCACCCAGTATTAGAAGTTCCTTCCCTGAATTTAAGGAATAGTTTCTAAAAAGAGATTAAATATCCATCTGATCACAACATCCCTACCTGTACAGTACCAGTACAACTGGCTGTTTCTGTCTGACTAATAGTAGGATCCTTAAGAGTGGCGTTTTTTCTTAAAGTCAATTTAGGAAGAGAATGCTGCACTGGCTCGTGTTAAGCAGCAATGTCATTGGCAGAGCTCAGTGTCAGCTTGAGTACAACACAGCACCTGAGACTCTCCAGCAATATAGGAAGGCTAATTAAAATCTTTCCAGTAGCAGTGTTCCTCGCTGGGGGAGTATAGTCTTTCTGGCTTTAGCTAGACTCGAATCTATCATTTTCTTCAACAAGCGCCCTCTGATCCTCCAGGGATGGGCTCCTGTTCACTTCCGGAGGCGGATCAAGGGCAGGCCAGGAAGCTTCGTGACCGAGTGTGACATTTGTAAGTTGTTTGGGGGAAACAGTTGTCCAAACACATGGCGCAGATGGCAGGAGATGTTGTGAGCTCGTGAAATGTCACTTACCCGTCACGAAAGCGCTGCATTTAGGAAACCAAACATGCTGTATCTTGGCTCTCTGTGGTCTGGCAGGCAGCAGAAGGCATTCATTAGATTCTAACAGAGCAATCTCATGCTCTGCCAAAACCCACTTCTAAAGCATTGTGATTTCTTATTTAAAAGGTAACACACACACACATACCACTCCCAGCAGCTGATAAGTGTGATCAGGATCAGGACACCTCAGCATGTGAAGATCATGGCTATTTTACAGCAGCCTCTTGAATTGTTTTTTTAAGCAGCCACCCAGCAGCCTCTGTTGACAGCCCAGTTTGTTATGCTTGGTTTACCCAGAGGAATGCAGTTTTTCAGGCACGGGGATCGTGATGGTGATGAGCAGTGAAGCAGACTGACACAGAGCTGGGATCCAGGTTGTGCCCATGTGTTCAATATTAGCAGACGCTGCATGAACCTCTCAGGTCTGTGCTGAGTCATTTGAAGATGCTCTCCAGCATTTTAACTGCTAACAGATGGACTGAGTGAGGAGGGGGACAAAGTGATAACTGGTTCCCACTGAGCCCCAGACTGCTCACAATCGAGACTAAAGGGGGCAAATTTAATCAAGGGGTGCGAGAGGGTGACACGATGGAGATGCACTTTGAAAAATGACTGTTTAACTAGTCTTGCCTGCAATTAAGAAGATGATAAAGATTCTGGACAAACAGAACTGATACGTCCCAAGAGATCCAGTGATGGTGCCAAAGCAAGTAATGACTTTCAGTTTGAGGCCAAGAGGCACCTGCAGAATGTGTCACATGGGATCAGTAATTCCGGCATTGTTTTCTCCTGCCAAAACATAAGGTTCTCTGTGGTATTAATTTAATTACATTTCAGTAAATGCATGCCTCTCGCCCTGTGTGGATGTAATAGATTGGTTCTCTCCACTTGTAATCTGGCAAAGCATTCATATACTCTACTGTATAAGCCGTCTGAGCCGTGCTATGATACTGTCCTGCCCCTGTGATCTTTTGGCAGTGCATGTTTATAGCACAAGCAGCATGGCGATACGGCGGCTAGTCCTGTTCTCTTGGGTCTTGAGGTTAATTCTGGTGTAGGGTGCCATGCGTGTGGAAGTTGTACGTTCATCTCATCTCTGCCTGTGTGCCCTGGCACAGGTGTCCGGTCGCGGGTGTAGTCTCTCTAACTAATTAGACAGACTGCAGCCCACTTATATTCAACTGGTAACTGAAAATGCATGGAAGGATATTTAAAGTCCGCCACTGGACTATAATGTACTGTTTTAACCTAGTGTACACATCTACGAGTTCAGTATGACATATTAAAGCCATTATGTTCATTGTACAGTATAATATATAATATAAAATAGTCATGTCATTTGCCAAACCGCTTTATACCATACGGTGTCACGAGAAGCCGGAGCCTACCCAGCAAGCAACAAGCGCAAGTGCAAGCCAATCATACATGGGGACAATTTGGAGGCCACAATAAAGGCCGTGGGGGGAAATTTGACCCGGACAGCGGGATAACTCCCTACTCTTAGCGAGAAATGCCCGGGGATCTTTAATGACTCCTGAGAGTCAGGACATCGGTTTAACTTTTCATCACAAAGAAGGCGCCCACTACAGCATAGTGTCCCCGCCACTATACCAGGGCTTTAGGACCCACACAGACTGCAGGGTGGGCGTCCCCCACTGGTCCCACTAACGCCACTTCCAGCAGCAACCATCACTTCCCAGGAGTCTTCCATCCAGGGACTGACCAGGCTCAACCCTGCTTAGCTTCAGTGGGTAGACCATTGAGAGCAGCAAGGTAATATAGCTAAAATAGTATACTATACAATTCTGTAAAATGGAGCAGAAAATCAATCATCCTTACATATTTACTGTATGAGGATGCACTTTTAATAAGGAGATTTTGGAAAGTCTCTGACTCTTCTTCCCCGCCAGTTACTCCAGCAGGTCTTTTGCTCTGCTTTGTCACAGCAGTGCAGGCTCTCTCTCTGCTGCTGTTACTGCCCGGCTCTGCTGACAAGCTCCACGTTAGCACGCTGTCTAACTTTCCTCTGGAAGGAAACCCACAGAGGTCAGAGTGAAACGATGCAGATCTGCCTTTCTTAAGTGTTCTGTCACCCTGCCCAAAGACACAGCAGCCCAAATCTCTCTCTCTCTTTCCTTTGCTTTGTTTCCCTGGTTGACATGAGGACACGCTGTTGCTCAGCACAGATGTTCCCCGTGGCCCAGTATCAGCTGGTTGGAGACAATCTGACAGATCCCAGTAAAAAAATATATATATATATCTCTGCACAGAGAGTGAATTTGCTCAGCAAGGAAGATTTTAACTCCTGGAAATAAGTGCTCTCGTAATGTCTCTCGAGTTCATACAGGATGTAGACTCCTTTGGCTGAAATTGGGGCATCTAAGAGATCTGACACCCCCATCTCAAAATTCGTGCATTTTTTCACGAGGTATTTTCCTGTATTCTAGTATGTCTGAAAATGGCTTCACTTTAGGAAATGTGGGCACAGCAAGCCTGAAAAATCAAGACCGACATGTCAATTTGGATATCTAAATTGAGCAATCCATTCTATCTCATCCTCCTACAAGTCAATCCACAGACTTCCCCTCTCAAGCCAAGAATCCTAAGTGACACATCCCTTTTTAACATACAGTAGTCTGTCCTATAACCTGGTAAAAGCAAGACAGTATCCTGTAAAGCACAGCAACATTATGGTAAAATCATGGTACTCATTAGGGGAATATAAGGTAGTGGAAAGTGAATTCACAGCTCAAAAGTAAATATATGAACACGTTATAAAACGCAAGGAAAACTGCAAAATCACAGCATAGTGAATTTCATGATGGTGTACTTTCTAAACCACTAGATCAATCAGAGGCTTATCCACAGCAGAGGAATCATCCCAGATTTCTATCCCAGTGCAGAAAGAAGGAAAGATCTGTAGGGGGGAAAAAAAATAAATCACTGATCAATTAATAAAATCAAGATAAATTCATCCCCAGCAGTAGAGGAGTGTTTTTTTCTGCTGTAGGAGTTGAAAAGGAATGCAACATCAGGTTTCCTTTTATATGAAAGCTTTTAAAGGTTCAGCAGAATGTCAATAACGAACTGTTCTCCATAAGAGTAGTTCTGAAATATGACAAGATGAGCATTACAGGTTCAAGGGAATTCATGCCTAAAGTCTGCTGTTGCTCTTCTGCTCTGCTGTGCTGTCAGTGTGTCGTCATTAATATTTAGCATGGGTTGCCAGAGTGAACGGATGTTTACAGGGCAAGGCTGGGATCCTCAGCTATGCAGCTCTGCCCTCTGGGATGATTTCAGGTTATGAGTCCTAGATTCAGTATTCTCAATTTTTTCCAGTCTGGTGATTCCTGGCAGAGCACAGTGTTCAGCTGTAGGACATGGGGCAGGGACACTCAGTACAGCTGCACCCACTGCGCTCACTCCCTCTCTCACTCCACTGTCACTGGCCCCGATCCCTCCTACTTCTCTGTATCAGCTGCTGGCTGCTGGAGAAAGCCTGTCCACATCTGGAGCTGATTCACACAGCAGACTGGCGCACTTCATGCTGCATGTGATAACTTGGCCATCACTCCTGTTCTCCAGCGCGCCTTGTTTTTCCTGGCTCCTGCCCTGCGGAGGTTGTTTTTCTAGCCTGTTCACCGCGAGCGCCTCACACCTACACACGCACGACCACTTTTGGCCTTCTGGGGCCTGGTGGCACCAGCGAGCAACTTCGGTAGCTCAGAGATTCCCCACCTCCTCTTCCTGAGCAACACAGAACTACAGCTGCAGGACTTGCATCTAAGGAACACCCACAGCTCAGCCAGGAGGTAGCAGGGCTTATGTACTGATGACCTGTTTTCTTTCTTCCAGAATTGCTGGGTTCTGCCAAGAGAGTCAATGTGAACTTTCAGGACACAGATGGGTAAGTGAGATACACAGAATCTACAGTATATGTTCAGCTTTAGAGCAGATCCTAAACTGAGGTCCCGATTACTTGGTCATTAAAGATCTCAAGACACTGTAGCCCACTGTTTAGTTAGGGCAGATGTGTCAGCCTTGATGTATTGACTACATTCTAGTGTGGTCTTGCACAAATCTGTCTTCCTTAAAGCTCCTCTGGAATTCAGGTAATGCAGTCACTTCTCTACCTGAGCTGCTGACACAGAACGACTGTCACCGACGTGGGTGCTGCAGATCACTTGTAGATGAAGCAGGACCCCTCCTATGTGTTTAGAGCATTAGGATCCTTTGGAATTTAAAGCACTATATAAATTCAAGGATTTATTCTTTGAAACTATTGTGATTGCATGCTCCTATGCCCTCCCCAGGCCTGCTTCAATAATACAGGGTATTGTAGTAGAAAGCAGAGGTGGAAGAGCTAGTGATGTGATCCCTGTCTTGCGTCGAAATGCAATGCACCAAGTTCAAACACAGTGTCACCTGAGGTCAGTGCCTCTCTGTGCTCTGCCTCACTGCTCATTAACACAAACCACATACTGCATTAAGCCGTTTCCAAGAGATGTTTATCACAGCTTCATTAAGTATTGAACAGCAAGGAAGTTCCCTTTTTTAGAACGAGCAGTCAGGAAATAGAGCAGTTTTCCGAGACTGTCCGTGCCCGATTCACATGCCTCTATACTGGAAGGACGGATTGACATGATCCGGTAGAGATTTCTGTAATGCTAGACTGAAACAGTATATAAATGCAAATGGCCTTTCCATGTTCAATTTTAATACAGTTTCATACGAAATAAGTGATACTCGAATCCAATGACATTTTAAGAGATGTCATTGCCATAAAAGACAGCTGTACGGCCCAATCTGCAAAAACAAAACTGACAGAAGCAATGGATTTTGTAGAAGCTGGTTAGCAAGCCTTTTGTGTTTTACCTCACAGATCTCAGTTCTGAATGGACTTGGACAGTGGGTCTTTTTTTAAACTGAGTCCACTGCCCTCAGCTCTCCGCCCACATATGTCATCCCAGATCATTAGAGGCCTTTTTAAAAAAAGTCCCCATCCTGATCTCCTGAATTAAACATTCAAAGATGCATAATCCTGTGCACCCATTGCTGGGACTTTTCAGAAAACAAACGTGTGTCCAGTTTTGCACTCTGGTGAGGACACCCGTCTTGATGCATTTCCTACAGAGAGGTAATGGTCCTGCAGTAGCTTTGCCTTTAGAAAGGGTCTTTTTTTCAGGAGGAGCAATGCATCCGTAAGGCTTGTCCTTTTTATCTATGCTGGAGTTTTGCATGCTGTGGCTTCGCCTGGGTAAGATGAGCACAGCAGTAGCAGACAGTCTGAGACCGATCCGATCAGGACAGAGGTCTGCTGCACTTCAGGGACCATCTCAAGTGTCAGGGCCAAGGCACAGGCCAGCACAGAAACAAGCTCGCTGCAAAATGTCCAGCAGGACAGATACACAAATCCTCTGGGATTTAGAGGCCATGATCTGCACAGCTTCCTACAAATTATCCTGCCAGACCCATCCAGGAATTATTTTTCCAGTAGTGTGAGCTCTTCACTGAGGGATTGCAGTCGGAGTCCTCTGGCTTACAATGGCTAATTTTGTGGGTCTGTATACGGTCACAAGTGTGGAGCTTTTTCATGAAAGATGTTGAGGAAGCTCACTCTGGGTGTGGATAATTGAACAAATACTACCCAGGTGTATAAATGACTGCCTGCTCATGGATAATATGGTTCTTTTATGTGCCTTTTATCACAGCACAAATTGCTTTTTTGTGGTTAATTTTCAGGGGGCAGGAAGAGGCTTGCAGATTGCATGTAGTTACAGGACAGAGTCATTAATTACAATGCACATCCGTGCTGGTATGACAGTGAGGCATTGTGATCCTGACACAGCTCTGTTGCATTGGCGCTGACTAACCCAACAAGAGCAGCAAAACTCATTTGCTGGGCTGCAGTGCGCGTGCAACGAAGCTTTGTGTAATGTTTTGATCTCTCTCATCCTACGCTCTGACAGACCGCTGCATGGAAACGGACATTACACTCATGGCAAGCACTCGGCCTTAAGGATTCAAGATTATTTTTTTCCCCCCCCACAATCCAGATTGTTACGTGACATGAGGTGTATCCTGCCTTGCACCCAGTGCTTGCTGGGATAGGCTCTGGCCCCCTTGCAACCCTGAACTGGATGTTGCGGTTAGACAATGGATAGAGGTATTGTTAGAATAACAAGCATAGTGTCACCCCTGACATCCTTCCATTTACCTTGGAGGGGGAAACAGCATTAGTACTGTAACGTGAGGTTGCCAAAGGGACTCCAGGTCAGTGGTATTTGGAAAATTCCACTTTAATACCCTGGACTATGTTCAAGGGGCTGAATTGAGAAGCAAGGTACAGGTTCTACTTTTTTTTAGGGCCTGGAACAACTCTGGGAACATGTTTCTGTGCTCATAGCTTAGGATACCCAAAGAGGGTGGTGCCCTGAGGTTACCAGGGAAACCAGCAGTCCCACCCCCATCTCCCCTCCCAAAGGACTGGGCTTTCATCTCCAGGGTTAGGAATTCCAAACCCAGGGTGTCTCCTTGCCTGATGTGCTGGTGGGCAAAATGGTGCCCAATACAGTATTTTCCACTACCAGGAACAGCCATACATGACCTGAGTAAAAGTTTATCACAATACTGAGAGACTGGCTGTGTTTTACTCAAACCAAGTATTTTTTCCTGAATTTTAACATGGCATTTCACAGTTTGTCTAGATCTTATTCTATATTTCAAACGGGACAAAAGTACTTTGTGTGCCCATCTAGTACTCTGAGGTAACACTCCAGGCTTGGCTGGTTACCAGCTAAACACCGAACCCAGTACCCATTTGTGAAAGATCCCCCTTCCTGATAGCGTGGCAAGGAATTTTCTATACAGTGCCAGATTTCCCATTAGGGCCTACGAAGGAGGGAGACACTAGTGAGTAACAAAACGAGCTGAAATATGCTTGCAATTGACTCGGTGCTCCAAATCAATTACCATACACTACCTAGCAGCTGATCTAGAAGCTAGAAGCATTAAAGTGATGGCCACTTGACTCGCTCCATCAATCACGTGGTTTAGCATGAGAATAATTTAAAGTGCATCACGTCAATTGACGTAATTCAGTTGGCATTTGCCCCTCCTTTGGCACATTTCAGAGTGAAAGTGCCTGGAGCCTACAAACACTAAACTCCAGCCCTGGGTCTACATGAACCATAACTGTACGATTCCCCCTGACAGCAGTGGCAAGAGCCTCTCTCGGTCGATTCTGGTTGGCCAGGTGCGCTCATTAACCGTCTTCTTGTTTACCGGCGTCCTGACCCAGAAAACGACCGAGGCTGCTGCCAATATCACCCAACTATGAGCTTTCTGCGATTTGTTGTGCAAGAAGACCTCTCTAACCGCCATCTTTTTTCCATTAAAGGCTCACTATTCTTCTTAACTATGAAGGTCTGGGTAAAAGACCATTGGTGCCTGCCTCAGAGACTGCTTTTATAGGGAGCCAGAGATTCCAGGTGCAGCCAATTCAGTGATTTCCTGGTGAGAATTTGAAGAATGCAGCTCACCTAAATGAGATGACCCCGCCCCTTGGAGATTCACCCGTGCTCCCAACACCAACACTGCTACACCATAATATTTGCTAGAGCTTGTGTAGTAAGCATATTACACATAAGGAGTTTTTAAGATAAAGAGTTGGTACCCATGATCTTTCATTATCTGTACACTGTATTTACAAACAACAAATGAAGTAATACTCTAAACGGCCACATTATAATCTGTCTTTTCACATCCCTTTGGCTCCATGGTTATAAGAAACGTAAGAATGAGAATGAGAGGAAACCATCTAGCCATCATGTAGTATTGCTATTGGGCCATCTAGCCTGTTTGGCAGTGGTTAATTGATCCAGGATCTCAAGAAGTTCAAGAAGGTAACGCCAGGAGACACATCACTCTGCAGCTCACCACTGACAGCCCACTGAAACTCAGCAGGAGTGAACCTGGTCAGGACCTGGGGCCAGCAGGGGGCGCTCACCCTGCGGTCTGTGTGGATCCTAATGCCCCAGTATAGTGACGGGGACACTATACTGTAAAAAGGCGCCGTCCTTCGGATAAAACCGAGGTCCTGACTTCCTGTGGTCATTAAAAATCCCAGGGTGTTTCCCGAAAAAAGTAGGGGTGTAACCCCCGCGTCCTGGCCAAATTTCCCATTGCCATTCCCATGGCCTCCTAATAACCCCCCTCTATGAATTGGCTGGTGTGTGGGGAGCGTTCTGGCGCACTATGGCTGCCGTCGCATCATCCAGGTGGTGCTGCACACTGGTGGTGGTGGAGGGGAGTTCCCATTACCTGTAAAGCACTTTGAGTGGAGTGTCCAGAAAAGCGCTATATAAGTGTAAGCAATTATTATTATTATTATTATTATTATTATTATTATTATTATTATTAACTGCGTCAGCTCCACAGCCAAAACATTGTGCCTCTTTACTTTCCAGCATGGAATAAACCTTTACTCATTCCTTTGCAACCAGAGGTCCCTCCTGTTCTTGTTTTTAACTGCTCTTCCACGTCGTTTTCACTTGTGTCCCCTGGCTCATGCGTCGCTGTTCCTTCTGAAGAAATCTGCTGCTTTGACTCTGTCGATTCTTTGGAGAATGTGAACACCCAGATCAAGTCCCCTTGCAGTCTTCTGTGTTCAAGACTAGAAAGGTTCGATTTAATTACCCGGCATCCTTTTCTCTGAAGGAGTTTCGGTGGATTTTGCTTCTGCTGGCTGGCAGTGTCACCCTGTCTGAAATCCTGCACTTTTTAATAAAACACATGAACTTGCCCTAAGAGCCTTCCGTTTGACAATTAAAGTTTTGAGTAAAATCTGAAGTTTAAAGAAATGTGCGGGCGTCAGTGCGTAATTTCACAACATAGAACCCCATAGGA